ACCCCCCGGCCTCTGCCTCCTCATCGGAAGACATGATGCTGGGGTTGGGGAGATCCTCGAAGTATTCCTTCCACCGTCCGACAATATCCCCAGTCGAGGTCAACAACTGCCCACCTCCACTGTAAACAGGTTTGGCAAGGCACTGCTTCCCCCTCCTGAGGCGCCGGACGGTTTGCCAGAATTTCTTCGAGGCCGACTGATAGTCCCTCTCCATGGCCTCACCGAACTCCTCCCAGACCCACACCCCCCTGAGCTGCAGTCCGCTTGGCTTGTCGGTACCCATCAGCTGCCTCAGGAGTCCCAGGAGCCAACTAAGCTCGAAAGGAGTCCTTCTTCACCATGACGGCCACCCTTACTCCCGGTGTCCACCACCAGGTTCGAGGATTGCCGCCACGACAGGCACGAGAGACCTTACTGCTACAGCTCCGAGTGGCCGCATCGGCCAATGGAGGTGGAGAACATGGTCCATTCGGCCCAAACGTCTCCCGGCTCCCGAAGAACCAGCACATGCCACCGTAATAAAACATGGCAAACACTGATATCCAGGTTTTCATTTTGATTCCTCTGGAGCACAAACGAGGAACTTGTTACAGCACACAGGAAGATGCCCTGGCTCATTGTTTCTACTGACCCTTTTCACGCAGTTCAATGTTGGAACTGTGCTTCTTTTGCACTTAAAATCCCTCGTCTCTGCATTTGACATGATGTATTGAGCTGGACACCCTCTTTCTCCCTGTATTAACTTTGGTGTTTCTGTGTTTCAACCCACTGCCCCCCAGAACCCTCCCACTTCTTCTGTTGCTGCTAAGGCCTGATCAGTATTTCATAAAATACCTTCATTAGCCTGCACTCACACAGTCCAAACACACTAACCCTTAGACTCACCAAGTACGCATCAATAATTAAAATGACTCGTAAATGGTCCCTTTATGGCTAAAAAAAGGAAAGGCTGTGAGCAGGTTAATCATAAATCAAGCACAATGGGCTAATATCTATAAGATGTACTGTACTTTTTAGGGATGCACAAGTAGAGCAATAATAATAAGCATTATTTTGTTAGGCCCGAAGGTGCAGGGAAACGACCCTGTT